GACGCCGGCGGGGCGGGCGCCGCTGCCGTATGTCAGCGCCCGGCCCCGGCCCCGGCCCCGGCGAGGCGGCCCCGGGCGCCAGGGAGGCAGCGCGGCGGGACCCGCTGGCCGCCGACCTGCGGTGCAGCCTGTTCGCCGCCGCGCTGCAGAGCTACAAGCGCGACTCGGTGCTGAGGCCCTTCCCGGGCCGCTACGCCAGCGGCGACACCAAGGACTTCGAGGGGCTGGTGAGTGCCGGGAGAGCTGCCCGCGGGGCCAGGGCGCCTCCCCGATGCCGAGGTGTGGGCAGCGGCGCCGCAGGGGCACGAATAAAGCAGGATGAAGAGTTTATCCAGTCAAGGAATCCAGGTTTAAGAGTATTAGGGATTCTGACYGATAAACCCGCACTGGGAAACGCCCAGATCCGGTGTGGGCTCCCGAAGTAATAAACGATAGGTAACAGGTGGTGAGCGACAGGACGAGAGGAAACGGCCTCAAGCTGTTCCAGAGAGGTTTAGATTGAGTTTTAGGGGCCATTTCTGCCTTGAAAGCGTGGTCAAGCTTTAGAATATGCTGCCCAGGGAAATGGTGGAATCACCATCCCTGGAGGTGTTCAGAAAACCATGTACATGTGGCACTTGGGGACGTGGTTTAGTAGTGGGCTTGGCAAAGTCACGTTAATGTTGGACTCAATAATATTAGGCATCTTTTCCAGCCTTAATGTTTCTGTTACTCTATGAAGTGTCATGAGAGCTTGCCCAATGTGAAATTCAAATAATTATTTAAGGWTTTGCATGTTACATGGCCTGAACACCCCCATGTCAGGCTCACTGCACATACTGCCYGGTGACAGCTTGTTTTCTCAGTTGTCTGTCTGATTGTTCCTGTACAAACCCTATATATACTGTTGGTAAGTATCAGTGTTTATAACTTGCCTGCTATTTGCTTTCAGAGCAACTGACAAACTTCCCCACAAACTGGCTACAAGTGTTTATACCTCAGAACATAACCTGTTTTTCAGTCTGTTGGGGTGAAATATTGTTTTGTTTTCACTAGAGGTCCCTGTTTARTCACAGTGGCACTAAGGAGCTTGTGCTAAATGCCTCTGTTATTAGCTTGCAGATACCAATGCTTTACCAAGCCTGAAAGAGCTTCTGGAGTCTGTTCCAAACACAGAAAAAAGGATGTGGGATCTGTTTAGTTGGATTGTATCATCTAAAGTCTTCATGATACAAAGTAYTAAGAAACAGGAGGTAAGTTTTGAATTCTGAAAATCTTCATCAGAATTTGGTTTTTAAGGCAAACTTGCACTTCAGAGAGTATTTCTTCCTGCCAGAATTAAGTTGGTTATTGTGAGAACTTGACAGTTCAACATAAATTCATTCTGTCTATAGAGAAGGGGTGTTTGTAGTGTTTTTAAGCAAAATTTTCAGGAACACTGGTCAGAAGAAATAGTTATCACTGACAGTAGTTGATGATGGGCAGTGATTGTAGTTGACTACTGAAGTTAACATAACACGTATATGCATGGTTTAGACCAAGAGTTCGACTCGGRTGTCATGGACCTGGGTCCTGCTTCTCACTGAGAAAAAGAACTCTTGTCGTCTGCAWACTGCCCCAAAAAGGGAAAGGTTCAGAGCCACTGAGGCACTTCTGTAACAGGGATCAAAATAGTTGTAGAGATTAGCAGCAAGATGAAAACAACTTCTGTTTTTGTGGGTTTTTTTTCTCTTGCAAGATCAGCTGATGGATATGTTGTCTTAGTATCCAAAGYAGAATTGTGATGTTGTTCTTGCATCATAAATTAATTCATGATTAAAATTCAGGGTTGGGATTTTTTCTGGAGAGAATAATTAGGATTTAACTTCTATAGCCAGAAACTGGCAGAATTTTTGCTGTTCACTTACTCTTTCTGAATTGTGACAGTGTTKAATTCTAACTCAAAAAAGTGTAATCAGAATACAGCAAAACTATGAAGAGATGGGAAGCAGAATTTCCACTGAGTAATCTAACCACATAAACCAACATTGATATTCCTTCCTGTTTTTAAGTACGAGAAGATCCAGGAACTCACAGGGATGTCTGGGGCTGCGGTTCCTGCTCCAGACTACCTCTTTGAGATCGTGTACTGTGATCAAATGAATACCAAGTTTGCTGAGACCAAGGGAGAGCGGGACCTTATCTATGCCTTCCATGGGAGCCGCCTGGAGAACTTCCATTCCATCCTGCACCATGGCCTGCACTGCCACTTGAACAGGGTGAGGCTCCTGCCACTGACACCATCTTCTCTTGGTCACTTGCAGCTGGGGACACCATTTAAAAATAGGCCCAGATTCCTTTCRGGGTGTGAAATGTGCTGATGATCTTGTTCTGCTGTTTTCATTTCAGTGTAGGCCTTTGTGAATGGCAGTGTTGGATTTGCTAGTGCAGCCTCAAGGTAAAAGCTGGAAGTGGCATGAAAGCCTTTTCACCAGTGTGACAAATTATGACTGTCCTTTGCTTCTTTGTAAGGAAATGTAATTCCTCTGAAAATTCTGGCCTGTCTGACAGCCTGCAGCTGGGAAGTATCTGTCTACAGAAGAGGAGGGTAGTGTAGATTTTCTGCCTGGCCTTGTGTTTAGATCAGCAAAGTTTCAGGTGCTACTCACAAGTGGAGCCTTCTTAAAACGGTCTGATTTAGGGAGATATCCCATAGGATTTGCACCTCTTCTGGTTTCAGTGGAAGGGCACTTGGGACTCCTGGGTTTTTGTGTCAGCTGTAAGACAGCTTTGACACAGCACCTGCTTGACCTTCCAGTCAACCTGGACTGTGTTTTTTCGCCACATTCTCRATGTGTAATGGTTTACTGGGTACAATGGATTTACTGGAGTAATAATTTTAGCCAGTGTGGCAAATTGAAAAGTACCTTCCTCTTTACTAGAAAAGTGTGGATTTAAATGAAGTAAAGCCTTGCCTTGTTTGGGGAGTTTGGATTACTTGAATAATGACACTCTCAATAAATCGATGAAATGTCTTTTAAGAGCAGTGTGGTCATGTTGATGTAAAATACTTGTGCTGGCAAACTAACTCCAAATCCGGGAAAGCATGAATCTGTCCACACCAAGTGCTCTGCCAAGCAGCTAATTTGAGGGATGGGAGAGGGCAGCAGCCCCACCCCTAGGAAATTGTGCCAGGACAAAAACAGTGCATGGACCAGGCCCAACACGGGTCAGAAAGGCCTTTCGTAATTTACCTTCAGAAACAGAATTGCCAGTCTGAAAGCAAAGAACACTTGTRTGTTTTTTGAGGTTTACAGCACATGATTTTAGGATGGATTTCTGCCCTGTTTCAGACATCCCTGTTTGGTGAAGGCACCTATCTGACCAGTGACCTGAGCCTGGCTTTACTGTACAGCCCTCATGGTCTTGGCTGGCAGCGAAGTGCACTGGGCTCTGTCCTCAGCTGTGTGGCTTTTTGTGAGATCATTGACCACCCAGATGTAAAGTGTCAGGTGAAAAAGAAAGGTAAGTCTATTGCAGTAATAGCTGTGTCATATCTATCCTTCATGTTGTTTTTCTTTCCCTATTAACATTAGCAGCTCCTTGAGCATTGAATAGGGGACTCCCCTCCTTGTCACCCTGATCTGGGCCATAATGCCATCCATACCAAGGATGACTAGGAGTGGTATAGCCTCAAAGAAACTTCTCAGTCTATTCTTGGATGCTGAGAGATTCAGGGGAATACCAAGACTAGATCTTTGGTTATCTCGTTCCCATTCTTCTGGGGGGTGTGTATGGGGGTGTTGGTTGTTTACTTTTTTTACAGTTACTTGAAGTTCTGCATATTTTTTTGCTTTTCTCTTCCCAATTCAGATTCAGAACAAATAGACAGAAAAAGAGCAAGAGTGAAAAACAGCGAAGGGGGAGATGTACCACAGAAATACTTTGTTGTCACAAACAACCAGCTTTTACGAGTTAAATACTTGCTAGTGTATTCACAGAAGCAGCATAGGAGGTAAGAGTTCAGCTGTCTAGCGGGATGAGCTGCTATAACAGCCAGATAAACACATCTCATTGTTGAAAAACAACACAAAACAAGCAAGGAAGATACACTGCACTGCCAGAATTTGTTTTTAGCCTGTTTCCTATGGAAATAAGTCGTACACCATCATGTTGCCTCTGTCTCTTTGACACTCCCAGGCTTAGTTAAATTTTCTTTTTACCAGACCTGTAAGCACTTAGTGTCTTTAGGAGCTCTAAKTACTGTTTGTGGCAGGAAACCAAAAGTGGATGTCTGGTGAGTGCAGCTSTTAAAACTGAGGCAGTTTTAACTCTGCCCTTATCTGTCCTAAGTGGCAGTGTTCACTCAGCTAATCAACACGTGTACAGGCCAGGCAGCTACAGCTCCAGACCACAGGCAAAGTTGTGAACATGRGGAAAAAAGATAGGATTGTGCATGGAGACTAGGGAAAAGGGATGTGGTGAAAATCAGACTTTGTTAGTTAAAGGGATTGTGGAACAACTTTCTGTTTTAACTACATTTGCTTAACCATTTGAAAAACCAAAACCCAAGATGCTCTTTGCCAGGACTTCTTGTGCATCTGTGACAGAATTCATGTACTTTTTCCTTTTCAGGCCTTCTARTGAATCTTCCTGGCTTTACACGCACCGTTTTGCCGTAATGATGATGCTGTACCTGCTGTTGCTGATAGTGATCGGGGCCAGCAACTCACCAACYTTTATCTACTACTGGCACAGAATGTTTGACATGGAGAGATGAAGCACCCAAGATGACAAACTGTTATTTTCACCATGTGCCTTAAGAATAGCTGATCTGCCATGCACTGCATYTGTTCCAGTGCTCTAGAAGTAAAGCTGCCTGGAGCTTTCCATTTCTGTCACCAATATATTAATCCTCATGGCATCTCTTAATTTATTCTTATTTCTGTGTTCCTGGGATTCATGAGGATGCCCAGTACAGCTGAAAAGGATCACAGTGGTGCAGCTTAGCATGAACCAATCGTTAAGGGTCGGAAAAAAGGTTATTGAAGTTTAATGAAAACTAAGTGTGGAAACACTCAGGTGTAACTTACTTTCTGTCAAGCTGAAGTATGTTCGCACAAGTTRGAAAGGAGGATTTTTCTGGATGTCAGGCAAAGAAAGGTGTTGGGAGTCTTACCAGTAGGTTTTAAGAAACTGAATCTAGTGATGTTTGGCATATATCAATGCAGATGGAATCACTTTTAAACTTTTAAAACTAACTTTGGCCAGGAATTTTTATATTTGAGCATAATGATTGTAAGTTTAAAAAAACCCCAAGATATTAAACCGCCAAAATGGAAGAAGTTAAACAGTTTCTAGTATGGTTTTTTTTTCCCTCTGAAGAACATTGTTGTGTTTTAATCCCAGCTGGCAGCTAAGCACAAATCCAAAACATAGTTATTACACTGCTCTAAGGAAAATTCACTCTATCCTGGACAAAAACAGCACAAACATCTACAAGGCTTGTGGTCTTAGCCCTGATCCATCTTAWCCTAGTTTACTGTGCAGAGTAGACAAAATCAGGGTTTTCTGTATTAATACTCAGTAAGGGTTGTTCTTACCAAACTGGAGATTTGTTAGAGAACAAACACAGGTTGTTCAAGTTAGTCATGCAACAAACCCCGGGCAACACTCTCCCCCTCCTGTCAAGTCATTTTCGGTTGCTGTTGTTACAAARCAACCTACAAATGCCTGAAACAGAAAAAGAAGCAAAGAACKGTCCTCTGATTAGTGACTGGMCATGGGACAACCCCATAAAGACTCRGAGATTCTAGGCAAGGAAAATTCAGATATGTGCCACAGTTCAGTTTCACAGTCCAGCCTTTAGCAGATTTGATAAAAGCAGGTTTTCATTACACAGTGAACCCTAACCACAAAAAAAGAAAAAATCTCATCACATATTTCCAGCAAATGAGTCTGTGATTACTACCTTACTCATTAAATATTTCAAAGAAAATCTCTTTCTTTTTCTGATGTTGTTCTGGTACCTAATTGCCAGAAATAATGTCCTGGTAATCAGCTTTTTAATTCAAGGCTGAGAAAAAGTACATTTACAGCAACCCCTCTTCTTGGTGACTGGAGCTAGACACATTTATCCCAGTTAATTTTGCTGCCAGAACAAATTTATTTATTCACCATACAGCTTGCAAAACAAGAACATTATAATCCAATTCCCCATTGCCTTTTACAGCCCATTAATAATGCTCAGTGTCAAAGCACACTGCGGCGCCTCAGCCCAAGAAGCRTCCGTGCTAATTATAGAAGAGATTTGCAATTAAAATATACATAAATTAATAATTTATTGTGCAACAGGTTCAACTACTTTATAGYAGTTTACTCCTTGATATTTCAATGCAGAAACTTGGGAATATTTGCCCATTTTTCATCTTCCTCAGCATCTTATATTTAAGTGTTGTGCCATTAAATATACAAGTTTAGGGGGAGGTAATGTGGCAGCCAGAAAACCTGGAGGTACTTGATGTTGTCTAAAGGGCATTGGTTTGTTAAAAGCCTGGTATGTCTGAAACAAAACTCATCTTTTGGAACACATGGGCTATCTGGGAGCCTTTTGAAAAAGAAGARGATTGAGCAGCAGTTGTGGGATGGCTCTGCTGGCACTGCAAGGAAAGGCACAAACYTGGGAGCTCCTGAGCCAGATGAAAGCAACACAGCAGGGATTTAGAGCTCTTTTCTTAGGGTTTCTTTGCATAGSAAAGTTTCTGAGAGTAAGCAAAAGAAGTAATAATAGCCCCAGGCTATGTCCCCAGAGAGAAAGCATGGTGGGGGCTCATGGCAGACACGCACAGTCCAGCTCTGCAATGAAATCAGCAGGTATCAAAGGAAAAAAACAGCTTTTTCTACTTTGATCACTTTGAATAGACCCAAAAAAAAGGAGGTGGCTGCAGGTGGGGGTTGAGTCCTGATGGATGTGTCTGGAGGATCCCTTGGAGAGCTTGTAACCCCATCCCTCATGCTCAGGCCTGCAGGGATTCTGGGCACAGCCTCGTCACTGCTTCAGCTCCACAGCTGCTAGGCGAGACAACAGCAATGGGAAAATATTTTAAATACATTTAAGGTGCTCAGATCCTACCTAGCAGCCTGGCAAAATACTTAATATCCTACTCCCACGCTTGTTTTCTGTGCTCCCTGCTGATTTCAGCATGTGTTTCCCAACGTGGCGAGGTGCAGTCAGCTGGATTAATGCGGGTATTGTGCTGAGTAACTAACAGTATTATGAATTAACCCAAGGTTTGTGTTAGCCTCTTAAGCCACTTGCGTGGCTCTTTGAACAYGCACAGTGCTATAAAAACACTAACAGGGAATGAATCAGAATTTCCTCCYGAACAAAGGGCCGCTGTGTTTGAAGCGGGCAACCCAGGGTGAAGTCGAGGAGTTGTAAAATACAGAGCTACCTGCTCTTATTAATATGTTCATTACATTACTGTGGTGAATATTAAGGAATTGTTACTGAATCAGACAAATCTGATCCTGCTGGGATTCCAAGAAGTGTGGCAACTGGTGTTTCCTTGGTGGGAATAGGCAGGTTTTGAGGAAGTGGAAGAATTCTCCTCCCACAAGCAGAAATAGATAATAAATATAAAAAGCTTTTTTGTCTCTATATTTCATATACATTTATATATGAAAATCTCAGGAGCCAACTGAGGAGGAGAGTAGGTGCTGTTGAAGACAAGGGGTTTGAGGCAATGTGGAGAGAGAGAGGGAAGCACCACAGAAAGCAGGACCACCCCTAGGGYGGGGAGAAGCGAGACTCTGGGATTTACACTCACAATAAGTGATGCAAAAATCTTGTGCTCTCCAAAATGTAARCAAATGTAAGAAAAGCAGAATCAGAAATGCAGGAATATTCAAACCAGGCCTGGGTTTTTGTCTACATCTGGCAGGACCCAGACCCAGATTGATCCCAGCTTCCCCAAGAAGGTGCTGCCCACCTGCTTGCTCCCTTTTCCTGCATGCAGTGGGCACATGGCTTGGCAGCACACTCTTCCAGTGACATTTTCCTTCTCTCATGAAAGCTGTCACTTTGGGCACTTCGCCCACACTCCAGGCACCACAAAATGTTAATTGAACATCAGCAACAGGARGGAAGGTACRAARGATGGGCAAAGGAACAGAAMTAAAGTGCCAGCAAGYATCCCTGGGGATGTGCCATRCTTCCCCTAAGGACTAAGGTATGTATTCTTTCCAGCATGCCAGTTTTCCTTCTCTTCATAGAGATCTTTTCCAACCTAAATGATTCTAAGATCATCAAGTCCCCCTAAAGCCAAACCTGTTCTTGCCTTTTCACTGTACTCGTGGGGTATTAAGATGGTGGATCCTTCCCACAAGGAAAAAAAAAGTGTTTCTTGCTCCTCGGAGAAGACCTCTGAGCTCCCCTGCTGCTGGGCAAGAGGAGACATGTGGTCTTAAGTGCATGAGCAACGTTGGATCTGTTCTCTCCCACTCAGCAAAAAGTAGATGAAGACAATTTTCACTAGATTAAAGACACTTTCCTACTTATTCACAGCTTGCCAGAAAACCAACACACCTTCAAGGTCTGCCTCACATCAGCAGCGTAAACAAAGAGACCAAAGGAGTGTCTGAGGAATAAATTAGCTTCCCCTACTGCAAGCCATTCCCATCACCTTTCAAGAAGCCCTTTTTTGCCAGCCTGGCATAAGCCAGCCCCCCCTCCATTAGCATTGGGTAATTGAGCAGAACAAGYCCAGGAAAGCAAAACTGTGATTACGCATCTCCTTGGAGTTTGGATGCTTCCTAAATGGCTCAAACTAATCCCCACCAGTTGGTCTGGGCTCCTGCAGTTCTAATTGATTTTTTTTTTGTTTTCTCCTTGGGCTACGTGTTTAGCATAAATAATAATTAGTACCAGAAAGGCAAGGGCTGAATACCCATCTACAGCTTGGCATCACCCTGAGTATTGTGGCTTCCTGTGTCCTCATTGCCCAGGCTCAGCCAGCCTGCAAGGACTACTTGCCACCCTTCCAACTTTAATAATTTGCTGGCTGGGGCACTGGGAGACCAGTGCAGAGCCTTTCTGGCTAATAGGGACCCAGCCCCTCTCGGAAACAGGGTCGAGAAAAAGTCCCCTCAGTGCCCAAAGGAGATTTGCTTTCTTGAGGGGAAGACATGACCCAGCTCCCTACACATACAACCACAGCAAGAAAAGAGTTGTTTTTGAAACAAAGCTCTTTCATCCTGATAAAGTCCAGATGCTCATTCAAACTGCGGTGGCCACAAAAATAGCCAAGGAACTGCCTCCTGCCAAGTCCAGAGCTCCTGAGCTGTCCAAACATTTAACTAAACTAAGAAAACAACAACCCACCTGGCTCAAAACTACATTTCTGTTCAAAAGCAAACCCCACATTCAATAACAATCATCAGAGAATGAAAAAAAGAAATAATCCACTATTTCTAATTACCTGGAAAGGACAACACAGTTGAATAAACTCATCTCTTCGAGCCACACCCAGAGAAGAAACGTCTGTCTTCACAAGCAACTTTTGGCACAGCGGTAGAAAGCAAACAACCCATGTTACCCCAGCTCAGCTGATCCCTCCAGAAGCTCTCCTTACCTTCACTTGCCTCCACCTGGCACTAATAGGTGCTGATGGACCTCCTCTACCAACCAGCTGCTTCACATCTCCTGCCATCATTGGGACACCTSGGACATCACCTGTGGAGTGGCTGCACCTGCCCTGTTGGGGCAGAGCCTARGGGCTGGTGTTGCTTAGGGCAAAGCAAATGTGTCCAGCATGTGGCCTGCAACCTGGCATGGGGACAGAAAGTTTTAGGGGGGCTGGGCAGTGTCAGGTCTGGTTCTTGTTGCCCCAAATACCCTCCATCCTAGTTTGCTCTGTGTCCACAGAGCTGCTGTGTGAGCATGTGTCTGTCTGTACCAGAAAATGATTGCAGGGACTGTTTTCTCTTCTGGCTGTCCTCAAAACAGAGTAAAAACCTCACCCCACCCCATTATGGTTCTTTGCATCATTCTTGCTCAAGCCCCTCCATCCCCACAGCACTCCCTCCCTCCCCACCATGCCTGGGGTATGAATGCTCATGCATTAGTCAACTTCCAGATATTTAGAGCTTTCCCAGAGCTTGTCACACAGCCATGGGAGAACCAGACAGGTTCTGAGTCAGGAGACGTGAAATTTCCAGAGATCTTTTCCTACAATAGGTGGAGAAAACAAAGTAAAAGGCTGTGATCACACCTTTGCAGCCTCAGGGTGACAGCATCCATGCAGCTCTACAACTGGATGTACGTGCAAAGGGCACTTGAAGACTGGCCATCCCAGGGACATGATCCTGGACCACAGAGGAGATGGCAAATTTCCTCCCAGGGGTTGATGCTGGAAGTGTGGAGAAGCTTGATCCCAGAATCAGGGCTGGAGCATGMATCAGGTACAAAACGGATGTTTTTCAGTTGTCACGGTGCTGCCAGAATGCAGCAGAATGACCATAAATACCCCCAAATGTTTTTCACCCTGAGTACAGGCAGGAGACACATTCTCAGTTCCTGGCCAGAGACTCTCACCCACAAAAGCTGAGTAGGGAACCTCATCATGACAGTCTCCAGAATGGTCCTGTAGGACAAAACAGCCCCAAAGCTATGCCTCCCAGTCCCTTGTGGGTATGTCTCTTCATCAGACTGTGCTGACAGTTGTCCCATTGGAGCCTGATGCCACCCCATCCTTTGCAGCACCGTCTTTAATGTTCTTCTCTGAGCCTGAGATGGGTTTTTGTCTCTTTTGCCTGGTGATGGCTGTTTCGATACCCCTGAGACACAACTGCACATCTTCCCGAAAGGAGGGGGTGTACAATCCATAAATGATAGGGTCAGTGCAGGTATGCAGCAATCCAAAGAGGAAGAAGCTGTGGTTGACATACTCTGGCATCTTCTGGATCATGGCTGGCTGGAACCAGTACCACAAGCCCAGGAGGTAGTATGGGGTCCAGCAGATGATGAAGGTGGCAACAATCACTACGGTCATCTTGAGAGTCTTCATGCGTGCCTTGAAGATGTGGTCGTTTTGATTTCTTGTCAAACCTGCCAAGGAGGGTCAAAAGGATATTTAGAGATAAGAGAAAACCAGGAGAACATAACCATCCATGACTCTGCTTCTGTCAGAGAGGGAAGACCATCTCGTAATCTGGTCCATGTCCCMCAGGAAGACAGCAAGGACTGGGGTCAATAATTTTGTGCAAAACATCCTAGTTGGTTTATCTTTCAAAGGTTGTGACAGACCCAACACCAACTACAGGCTGGAGAAGTTCAGTCATGCAGTCATGGTGGACACTAAAGGGCTGGGATCTGCTTACCTTTATTGACCTTTAGCTGCTTACTGATCTCCCAAAGGATCCGGATGTAGCAAACGATCATGACGCTCAGGGGGGTGATGTAGAGGGTGGTGAAGGTGAACATGTTGTAGACGGTTTCCTCCCAGTGTGCTCGGAAGCTTCCGTGAGTAACACACTGGGTGAAGTTCCCTCCTGGGATTGTGTGCAGATGGAAGAGGAAAAGCTGAAATGTAGAACCAAAGAATAACTAAGARTGCATTTGGAACAGAGCATCACATCCTGGAGATACTGCTGGCTGCATGGAGAGCACTTCCCTGCTGCTGTTGGACTGGGAGAGGGGCTCTAGGCACCTAAATCATGGTTTGGTCTGGTGCTGGCAGAGTCCATGGATTGGGATGGACTGGTTGGGGATAGCAGGGTGGAGAAGCCCTCTCCAAAACCACCCCAGCCTGGGCAATTTCCATGGGGAGAGCTCTCAACCTTACCTGAGGCAAAGCCAGAAGCACGCTGCCAGCCCAGGCAGCGCGGAGCAGCATCCCATTGCGGCGGTGAGCACGGGAGAATGGATGGAGAATGGCTGCGTGCCGGTCCAGGCTGATGACCACCAGCACCAGGGCAGCTGCGTACATAGCRAAGAGCTTGAGGAAGTTGAGGATCTTGCAGGAGATATCCCCTCCATACCACTGCACTGTCATGTTCCACACYGCGTCCAGGGGCATCACCATCACTGTCACCAGCAGGTCGGCCAGTGCTAGGCTGAGGATCAACGGCTGCACGTGGGATTTCCTCCTCTTCCTCAGCAGGCTCCCCAGCACCGCTGCGTTGCTGCCTGCCGCCAGCAGGAAGAAAATGGCTGTGATGATCACACGGACCTTCGCTGCTTGAGTGAACTGGGGCTCCACCCAGTACTGGGGGTACCCAGAGGCTGAGACATTGGTGTCCTCKGGCGTGGTGGGGCAGTGGGGAGATGCAGGGAGCTGCTCCTCGCTCATCCCCTGCTGAAATGCAAGCAGCAAAGTGAACCCCTTCTTAGGGGCTGTGTGGAGCACTGCAGCTTCAACATATGGACAAGAAGGGAGATGGTGAGATCTGCAYTGGAGACACCAGCAGCACTTTGCCCCATACTATTTTGTCCGGTCCTGTCCCCTCTGTGTTGCCCATTCTGCAAACCCACCRTGTCCCCATCACTGGTGGGGACACAGTCTGGCTGTCCTCTCTGGCTCACCCCTGCTGTAGCTACAGTGACTGCTCACACAGACATATATTTTTACCTCTTTGCGAGGTGGCTGAGCAGCTGGGAAAGCAGGAGTGGTGGCCAGGACCATGGAACCAGTCACTGTCTGCCAGCATCCTGCTGGGAATGGGTCATATCAGAGMTGGCTGAGCCTCTGCTGTGTGCAGAGCAGCTGTGCTCAGTGCAAGGACTTGTCCTTCCAAAAGGGGTTTTCAAGCAGAGCTCAGCTTTTCAGAAACCCCACAGCCCTTCCCATTAGTGTATTAAACCTTAATGGTCCACCTCTGTCTTCAGTGCTGGATCTGGGGCCATGGGCAGGAGCACCTGGGGGTGGCAAGGCAGGGAAAAGGGGAATGCCACACTGTCCAGGGAATGAYAGTGGCTCTTGGGAGAGGACCACARTGGYATTTAGGAGCCTGGACCTTCCCAGGACCCAGGCAGCACCAGCTTAATCTCTGCCCCTTTCCCTTCTAGAGGCAAAGCAGAAGGAGGAAGGGAAGGTAAAACCCCCCAGAACAGGGGGTGGCTGGGGGTGATGAGCAGTGTGGTGTCCTCCACACTTGATTCCATCACCCTTTTCACCTGAGCAGAACTCACATTTCAAGGGCAAATRCTTCCAACTCCTGGGGCCACAAGCTGTTTACAGTCCCAGGTGCAGGTACAGCACATCTCTTACTGTTTTCAAGCACCTTCTTGTTTGCTGATTCCAAAATCAAGGATTCCTTACCTTTGTACAAACAACAGRAGCAGCAGAGATCAAACCTGTCTCCCCAGCTCTGCAGGACGGAGATGCCAACACCTTACAGCAATGCACCATCCTCCAGCCCCACCACCCACACCCTGAGCCCCCTTCCCCTTACTGCCCTSACTCCCTCCCTCCCCAAAGACCAACCCAACAAACAAGCAGCAAAAAGAAAGAACAGCTAAAAAGTACCAAGTTTCYTGTCTGGAAGAAACAAGCAGAAACCCGTGTCCAGTTCAGGATTTATCCCAGCTGAGGGGAACATACCTGGCATACGCATGCCCTGACGCCGAGAGAAGATGCTCCGTGTATTTCCCACGGGTCYCCCACCGCTGCGGTGCTGAGTCAGGATGCTCCAACGTTTCCTTGCATCACATCCCTGCAACAAACCTTGAAGCAGTAAAACATTCCCTTGCCAGCGGCCAAGCCGGGAGCGACGCTGCTGTTAGCACAGGCRTATGCAGGCATCTGGAGATGGGAGTGCTGCTGCAAACACCCCCTRCACCACCAAACCAGGAGCGGGGCACGCCGAGGTGTCCACAGGCAGCCTGGCTCACCCCTGCTCTCCTCAGATTAATGAGCTGCCTGCTTAATGAGCAGGCAGCGGGGATGATGACAAAGCCGCCGTAATGCAAGAAATGGCCAAAATTCAAAATGTTGTGGCCAAACGTGGCCCCATCAGGGGTAAGTGCCAACACTCCGTGTACTGGTTTGGTATAAATACAGGAAAATGAGTTAATTATCCTGGGAGTTAGTGATGAATGTCCCGTTGCTCAGACGACCGGGAGACTCGCAGACATGCGCACACACACACACCTCAGTGATGCTCCTGGACCACACGGGTCCAGGGGAGCATCRCAGGTACGTGCCTGGACTGGAAATGCTGTAAGGAGGGAATTAATAAGGGGAAATGTGGTTAATTTTGTCATTTTTAATGAAAACACTTTTTTTTTCCTCCAGGCTATCAGTTCCCATCTTGTTCTTTCTGTATTTCTTGCAGCGTAACACAGTGAGAAGGAAGGACCTTGCGAGGGACAAAGAGCTCACAAGAGCTTAAAAAATATGATGTGCAATGCAAGGGCAGGGAGGGAAACTGAGGACATTTGGCTTCTCTGGCCAGCAAAAGAGCTGTGGGGGTGAGAGGGACAATCCCAAGCTTTGCTGGYGCTAGCACTGACAAACACTCTCTGGGGTTTCACTAGGACTTTAATGACATGCAGATAGACCTTCACATCTTCCAGGCTATTAAATTAAAGAGCACATGGTGTACAGGTCCCTGCAGATCCCAGGCTGGCAGTGATGGTTCTGCATTGTTCCCCAATAGGAAGAGATTCCCTTTCTGGAATAGGTTTTCCTATTAAAACTACTCCCACTTATTTCAGGAGGAAATGCCTGAGCTCTGAGGGTGGTTGCACCATCTCTGAGACTGCTGTGCTGGCAGGAGTGCTCCTGGGAACAAGCAGAAGAGATACTTTGGCAGAGAGACCAGCTCCTGAGACCCAGGAGATGTTGCAGGCACTGGATCATGTTTGCCCTGAAATCCCCTAAATTCTCCATCACTTCTGAATGGAACTGCCAAAATGGATCAGGATTGAAACTCTGCTCAGAGCCACAGAGGGCAATTCCTGCATCTCAAGTGCTTTACATCTGAGGGGAAAGAGGAAAGCAGAGCCACTGCTGGCACTGCGAGCACCAGCCAATCCTGCCACATKGGAGGGGACTGTCCCCATCACCTCCTTACCTGGCTGAGGCATCACCCACCAGTACTGCAGACCTTGCCTGGCCCTGTGGGGAAAAACAGCACAAAACCCACAAAGAAGTTGGATAAAGCCTGTTTGTTCCAGCAGCCACCTCCTCCTGACATTAGGTTCCTGCTTAAAGCTGAGATTAATTTGGCCCCACACACTCATCYTTATTTTTCCTTTCATTTAGCCCTTTGCACCTGCACAAAAGCAATTTAGTAGCAAGTCAGGAATGTATTCCCTGTTTGTTCTTCGTCCTGGCTGATGGCCTTTTTGTCTAGAAATGTCCTGTCCACCCTTGGCTGTATGATGCAAGAGAGGGACAGGATTTTTCTTGGGAACTGTAAGCCTTGCTCATGCCACAACAAAGCTTTTAGTCCCTGTTCGGAAAGGATTTTTTTAGCATACCATCACACAGAAATGTCCTGGGCATGCATTAGCAATAAGTCTTATTTTAAGGGTGGGGTCCCTTATTGAAATGACAACTTTCCTCCGGCGTTTGCACAGTAACCCCCTTGTGTTTTCTCTTTTTTTTTTTGCTCATCTCCTCAAAGGTCAGTTTGGATGTTGTCTGCATGGCAGCCTTCAGCTGAATCTCTGAACACYGGTTTAACGATCAGAGGGTTTTGGTCTCCAGGATTAGGAAATAGTGCTGGCAGGCAGGGTTTGTTTCCATACATCCCAGCTTGGCTCTTCCCGAAATCTCCTCCTCTTGGGATGCTGCCCCAGTACATCCCCAGAGCTGCAGTCCAGCACTGGGTCATGAGGGGACAGAGCATCCCCCAGYATCCCCAAATAGGACTTAACTCCCTAAATCCATATGGATCATCCCGGGATGCTGGAGAAAACAGAAATCAGGAACCACACTGGGTAATACAATGCCAGTGAAAATTTCTGCATGAGCAGACCTCAAACAAAAATGTAAGTGCTGTGTTTTTCCACTGGACACCCCATATATACTGGGATCTCATCCACAGAGAGCAGTGTGGRATATAATTTCCATTAACCTAGTGCAAACATGAGACAGGGAACCTGCTGCTGTTTATCCTGATAAATCACTGCYGGGGTCTTGGCTTCCCAAAGAGAGAAAAACTTGTATTTTGCTCTCCGAGAGAAAACCCAGCTGCTGGTTGTTATGGGGGGCAATGATGGGTGATTCTTTGGCTGAACTCATCACCAGCACCCTCCCCTCAGGCAGGTGCTTCTGCCAGGTTAACTGYCCAAAAACTCCCCTTTATTCAGAATAACCTCATGATTTTAGAATTTTTTTAATGCTGATTTCCCCCCTCCCTGCCCAATTCTTCTCCAAACCTTGAATTGTCTCAGGAGCAGCGCATCCAAGGAAATTTTTGTCTCATACTGGACTTGAAACAGAAAGTCTAGTCAGGCACATCTGACATGCAATGTTTTTGTGAGTAAATACCAGCATCCATGAAGTCATTTCCCGAGGTTAGAAATGAGCTCACCTCTGGAACAGCTTCTCTTCTTACCCAAAGTTCACAAGTCAAGTGATTGGGAAGCTCCCAGTTTTCAGCCTTTTCATTAAATAACAGCATCATAAAATTAGAATGGTGCCACCGTGCTGAATATTACAAATAGGTCTGGAACAGGGTATCACCCAAAATTCCCCAAAATCTCTGCAGCAAAACGCAGARACACAAAGCTCAGTGATCACTGGGGATAAACCAGCCCCTCATTCTGCCTGCTCAGCYRGCCCTGGCCGCTCTGCCTAACCTGMCAAGGAGGGATTRTAATTGCTGCCCCTCCTGGGGATAATCTGGGACATCCCCAGATTATTTAACTCCTGTWTAAAGCAGAGACAGGGATCTCTCCTGCCCTCTGGGCTCAATTACTTGGCAAACTGTGTCTTTAGACCATTTCTTGGTCTAAAAGAAGAAGACCAAGCTTCTGATTCAGCTTTGTATATCAAAACCTCTCTCATAAAAATCCTTCTTTGGRGGGCACCACACTGTCAGACAGGGGTACTGGGAAAAACATGCTCAAACCTGCTGCAATTCCCACCTTTTAATACCCYGCCTGGTGCTCCTTACGCTGCTGAGCCCAGATGTCAAAAGCATGATTCCCAGGGGTTCCCCAAATTTACATCTTCCCATGCAGAGCAGCAGCTCTCAGGATCTTTCCTTTATCTTTCACCAGGGTATGTCAACCAGAGCAACATCTCCTGTCCTAATCTCTAAACTGGAAAAGAAAAAGGAGGGAATTTATCACCCCAAACCAAATCCTGAGGTCAAACTCCATGAAAGGTGGTGGGATCCGGTGCCGAGTTCCATCTGCACACCACCAAGCAAGAAAACTTGGTTTTGTGTGTGCATCACTGCTCCACTTAGCTCAGCTTCCCCACAGCAGTTTTGCTTTCCTGCCCAGGCTGGAATTTATTTGGGGGGAAAATTATTTGRGAACTTTCACCTGACACCCCAGTCCCCAGTAAAGCAAGCAAATCACCCTCAGGGTCAGCGGAGGGACCATGGGTGCCCTTCAGCTTCAGCACACACTGACCCAGTCAGGGTTCTCAGTGCCCTAAACTGGGTATTTTTCTTGAGCTGGAAGAAATGATGAAATGCCAATATTTTCGTTGTGACTAACCATGGAAGTGAACAATTTTGCCCTTGTTTTTGGACAGGGTTTAGTTGCTCTTCTTGCCTTTGCCTTCTGTGCCCTCTTTTATCCTCTGCTTTTTTTATTCCCTGTGGGACCTGTATATCGCATTGCTCCAAATATCCTCCTCCCTCCAAGCTCTYAAATAGGATTGTGTGTCCCAAGGCCATATTTTGGTGCTCTCTTTGGCTACTTCTTCCCAAACATTGGCCAGATTCAAGGGCTGGTCTCCTTTGTTGCACTGGGGGAGAGGTGAGATGTGGGGACAGCTGACATCCCTGTAGGACCCTTGGCAGCATTACACAAGGCTTGCAGGAGCAAGAATCAGGGAAACAGCTCCCCTGACACCTCTTCCCCATGAGCTTCATATCTCCAAGAAGTTTTCAAGGCTTAAAGATACTCCTGGGTGAACTTTATGCAGGCACATGGTCATTTTCTATGTTTTTATGGCTTGGTGGGGACAGATATCATCAATGCTGAATTTAAGGAGCCAGAGGAATACAATTTCTGCTCCCCAACCCTGTTTTTGCCCTCAACCAACCCCGGTGACTATCCCTTAAAATAAGCATCAATGCTGACATCTCCCATTCAGATTTGGCCTCCCAGGGAGGTGTTTCTGGGAGCCAGAACTCAATTTACTGTGGCTGTTTCTTTGTGGAAGGGCTCACCTCCCACTCTGCCTTCCCAACCTGCACCCAGCAGTTTTTGCCTCAGATGGGACAAGGTGCTCGGAGCTGCCAGCCCTTCCTTCAGCAGCTCTTGGCCCCACCAAACCCTCTGGTGTGCTCCYGGCAAACACACATTTACCCTCCGGCGAAAGCTGATCTGGCCATGTATTCCAGGGGGAATCCCAGCAGCGCTGGAATTAGCTCGGCAGAGATGGGCTTTTCCAAGTATGTCCTTGGTGCAGTGCATTGAGGCCGTGAGGTATCTTACATCTCCGGTCGCCCCCATGACCACAGGCACTCCAGGAAGGGAAGGCATTTCCATGCTGTCTTTTGCCAGTGGGGATGATGGCAAACTCCTTTGGAGCTGAAACCTGAGGGTGGATCGACCCCGGTTACCCCATCCCAGGCACAGCTCCACATGGCTCAGCGCAATAATTAACCTGACATAAGTTCCCACATGGTTCAACAGGGAGTGCCCACCACCCTCGTGGCTCCATCTCTTCCACCTTTCTGCCCATTCCATGTAGAAGCTCGTTTGAACACTAAAAACCACCTTCTAATCTAAAATTTCACTTCCATTACCATCACTGTTGCCTCTGGTCTGACTTACACAGCCTACACCTCTCCCATGTGTGGCCAACGCAATCTCTGCAGAGGAGGAGAAACACATAGTAGAAGACCCAAGTCCTCCCCTGCACACCCATGAATCAGGCAGGATTTTGCTGATTTTTAGGAAAAACTGGCTGATGTTTTGCTGGTGTAAATCACTGCAAACCTGTCCATCTCAACTTGGTTATAGCAAGAAAATGGAAGAAAATTCACAGATGAGACCAGGGAATGCCATCCCATGTGCAGGAGGTGACTCTCCATGCCAGCACGGGTGCACAGCCTGGAGCGCATCCCAGCCCAAAGTCAATACCCATAAACAAGAGCAATAAATCAAGGATTTCTTCAGGAGCAATTAATTACCCAAATCAACATAGACTTTGACACAGGATGGTCTTTGTCCATCCAACTCTGTCCGAGGCTAAAGCAAACAGCTGGTGGACTGTGGGTTGGAGCTCTGCTCCTGCCCTTCCTTTGCAGTGTAAATGTCCCCATTGAGGTGCTGGCCTGGCTTGGACCTGGCCACATTCCCATCACGTCTGTTCCCATCCTGTGACTGCTTTTACAACAGTGATCAGAGGTTGTGCAATAGCTCAGGCCCTGCCACAAGCCCACATCTGTCATCAGGATGTTCCCCACACACACCATGATGCTGCCCTGCAAGTGTCCCTGAGCAGTTCAGGCTCCAGGAAAAGGCTGGGATATGCATTATTCATAGAGGGCTTAAAAATAATGGCCTTCTCCATCTCACAGAGAGTTTCTAAATGAGCTAGAATTCTTATCTTAATTTCCTCAGCTCAACAATGTTATTAAAAAGGGATTCGCTATTGAAGCACTTCTTGTGCTCTCATAGMATCACTGCTTCTGCTCCTCCAAGCTCTGACAGGGAAGGCAAGACAGAAACAGATATAGCCATGGCACTTAGGAGTGAAATACCAAYGGGACCCTCCTGCAGTCCAGGATATCCCAGTGAACTGTGAATCCCTCTCTAGGGTATGTGTATCTATATGTGAGCAGCAGGGATGCAGGTGACAGTCCACAGGCACTCAGATAGCAAACATGCTCTGCAAAAGCACCAGAAAAAACCTTTTTCCATTAAAGAGGGAATCACGGTGCAGAGAACATTCCTTTTTACATGTCAGGGGTCAGCTATGTTGTGCTGGTGCCAGCAGACATTTGGGGGCTCACCCCATGGACAGACCCCACAACCAGCACAGCCACAGAACTCTCCCCTCACTCCTGGCTCTTTCACCAGAGCAGAGAAAGCCTTAMTGAGCTCCAGAACTAAAATCAGTCTTTCCCTGGGTCCTGGCTCTCCTGGTGTCCCCACTATGTGCTGCTTTTTGTATCTGTTCCATAAATGATGTATGTGGAGCTGAGCACCACTGAACCCAGTTGATGCTTTAGCTCCCAAGCAAATCCTTCCAGAGGGGAGAAAGGTCCACTTGTTCCTTTTCTCCCAGCCACAGCCTGTAAATCTTCATCTGCACAATGAAAACAAACTCCAGTAATTCATTTTTTTGGCTCTTTTCCAAAGATTTTAGGCAGCTGGAGTGCAATTTTGTGCTGATGAAGCGGTGGAGGAGGGCTTAAATGAAACAATATTGCGGTGGCTGCAAGGTTTGCTGGTGTTTCAGAGCTCAGAGGGAACCTCAGGGACCGGCCACATCTCCAAGTTCTCCTACAAACCATGGAAATCGCCACTCTGGCTCCTGGGATAGCAAAACAGGATTTAAAAAACAACATTAGCCACCCCTGGAGCATGGCTGGAGAAGTGCCGGGAGCCAAGTGCTTAATGAAATCCCAGCTCCCAACTCTCCCTTCTAAACCACGCAAACTTCCCCAAAGTGTTTGGGATGGAACAAAGTCATCAATCAGTTATTTTAACTCCCAACTCCGTAAACAGAAGCAAGCCCAGAAACATGCAGCAGGGGAAAATAACCGTCAGCTCCCTTTGGCGGAGCGGAGAGGGCGCAGGGAGGGAGGACAGGGGCAGCCAGTGGGGAACTGAGAGTGTCCTCGGCCCAGAAGGGGATTTTAAAGCCCCCACAGAGCATTTCACAGACCCCACAGACTGTAAACTCCACACGCAGCCCTGAGAGCAGCCCCTCCAACCCTGCTACCCTCCTGGCATGGTGCACTTGGCTTTTGGTAATGGTCACTCAGCCCCATGCTGTACTAGACAGGGTGGCAGGCATAAAGAACCAGGATGACCATTATTAGCCAGCTTTTGCCTGGATTTATTAGATAAACACAAGTGAAGTTATGGATACAACACAAAGGAATGTGGGAACAGGTGATGTGCTGCACCATCTGCTGTCACACCCCTCTGACATTACCCCAGTCTCAGTGCTGGTCAGAGGGAGCATTAAGCATGGCAGCATTCACATAAACACACTATAGCTTTGTAGTTACACATCAGCGATGAAACCATGGAAAAAAACCCATGAGATTTGGGTAGGCTCCCCAGAGCCAATCTGGGAGGGSAACGAGTCCAAGAGGCTGTGGATCTGCTGCTTTCTGATGKGAAGCAGCAGCTTTAGGCAGCTGAYCCCACTGGTGATAGRCAGAAAGATAGAACAGTTTGGTCTGGGATGCATCCTTCTCACTGGCCAMAGCCCTGCAGAGATTACCSTGGGCATGGGGCAGCCTCTGGTTTRTCTCCTCCACCCCACAGGCTGGGGCATCATTAACCTCCAGGCAGATGGAAAGCATCACCTGGAGTCAGTGGTGCTCAGCACCGGGAACACCTGGGGCTCTTCCCATGCTGTTCCCTGCAAAGTCAGCCACACATCAGAGCTGTAGCAAGGGRCGGTCAAACCAAGAGAGACTGTGCAAAAGAACTTTTCTAGAGAYGTGAACTCACATGTCCCAAACCTGCTCCTGAAACTACACACGTGTCTCCAGAGGCTCTTGAAGGAGACATGCTGGAGAGAAAACAGCCATGTTGAGGAGGCTGCAAAATCCTGCAGAAATGCCTGCACCCGCACTGGGTTAGAGCTCTCATCCCATTTCCATAACAAAAGGAATAACATTTTATTCCTTTTGCATAAGGGCACTTTTCCTTACCCAGCAGTGTGGCCCATGGTAATTGATCCCAGGATGCAGGCAAGCAGCCAGYGGGACTGGAGATGTCTTGCCAAGGCATTGGTGCTGTGCTTAGTGTGGGTCAGCCGTGGTGGGAGGTAGGTGCCATCTGGCGAAGATTAATTCCTTGCTSTCTGCCTCAGCACCTTTCCCACATMTCATCCTCATCACGGTGGGGAAACGGAGATGAGCTCCATGTTTATGTCAGAGGTTTGGACCTTCCAGCTCACTGGGCACTCCCTGCCCACGGATAAACATTCTGCCATTTTTTGGTTCATCTCAAGTGCTTTTTTCTTTTCCCTCATAAACATAAACAGGAACTGGTGTAGGTCACCACTGATTATTCTTTATGTGACATCTTGATCTGTGTTCCTCCTGCACCACTCCCTCTGGCAGCAGAGCTGACAAGGATTACTAGGAGACAGCTTGGGACACCACTGGCCCCCTTGGCTGCCCCAATGCCCAACACACAAAGCACATGATTTCACACCACACTCCCAGAGAAACTGTCTGCACAGTCCAACAGCTCCGGGGCTGCATACATGGGTGCCAGTCACTTACATAAGGCCACATGCTTTTTAATACCCAGAACACCTGTGTCCACAGACTAGCTGCCACAAGTTATAYGACAAAAATGTGGCTGCAGAGGGAGAAAAATCTTGGAAGGTTGAAGCCAGTCTGAGGCAAGCAGGAAGCTCTGGTTGGGGGTCTAGGATCTCCCCATGGCTCAAGGGAGAAGCAGTCACATTTATTTACAAGGATGGTCCTGCCTCTGCAGCTCTGTGCTACYCCAGGTGTCCCAACCAATCCTGCTGGCTTTGTCCTACATCCTCACATCCCCCACAGCATCCTCATCTGACCCCTGCCAGAGCCAGCACAGGGGCAGAGGTGGGCAGGCACCGCAGGTAACAATGTCCAGCTGAGTAATAGCCCACACATGGGGCAACACCACATGCAACGCTGGGTGGGCACCACATTTGTCCCAGACCTGATAAAGCCAAAAAAACCACCCCCAAAATTCATTGCCTCATCACTGTCTCTCCAACTTCAACACTCAGCAGCATCTGTTTCRGATCCAGACCCTGGGTGAACCCCTAACAGTCACGGTGCTTGCTGGGATGCAGTGCCCATACCGGGACATAGTACCCACACTGTGCCCTGCTCCAGCAGCAGAAGCAGCTRCCACTCGGTGGCATCGCCACAGGTTTCTGTTTACCATCACCTTATTACGGGATTATTCAGGCTGCGGTTTCCTCGCGCGTCCGATCTGTTTGTGCTCGCGGCTGGTGGCTCGCTGCCATCCCCTAAGCTACACGCCGGGCTATATAAGCGACCTCGCCGCCTCGGCGGCGGGAGGCTCGCACACAGCCCAGCTCCACTCGGTGCAGGGGAGGTTTCGGTAAACTGCTGCTCTCTCTCTTCTTCCCAGCCGGCTGCAAATCGCTGAACCAGCAGCTGACAAGCCGCCGTCCCGCCCGTGAATCTCAGCTCGGCTGGCGGCTCCGTGGCGAGAGGACGAGACTCTTCTTAATTGGGGTTTTTATGGCTTTTTAGGTAAGAGGAAAAAAAAMCCAAACCTAACCCAACCCTGCTGTCTTCCCTTCCGTGGCAGATAGTGGTTATATAATTTTGCTTTGTTAAGGCGGTGTAATTAAGAGCGTCTGTGATTGAAGGTGAGGTGGAAATTAATTAACGAGCAGATGACGGCACAGAGGCTGAAAAACATTGACGGGGATACGGTTCCCTGCGTCCTGCTCCTCCCCTCCTCGTTCCAGTTAACAGGCTTGGGGAAGGGTTAGAGAGACAGCTGGAGAGGGGTTTGGGGGGCTTTGCTCACGTGGGGCTGTTTGATCTCCCGCAGCTCTGTCCCGCGCTGGCTTCCCCAGCCCCCTGCCAGAGAGGGGACACAGGCAATTCCAAACCTTCCCTGCTGCCAAGATCCAGTAGCTTGAAGCCCCCCTTTTCTTGCATCTCATGTCCAGGTACAGAGGGATGTATCCCAACCCCAAACTCAGTGCTGAACAAGGCACAGTCAGCTCCAAAAATAGTCGCCAAGTGGGAAACAGGATTAATTTTTTCCTGGTTATTGTCTGGCTGCGAGTTCACGACCCCATCRTAAGCCCACAAAACACCGCTCATGTGTTGCTTGTTATTTGTGCTTGACTGGGATTTGCTGAGCCGTAATCAAAGTATTTCCTAGTCCCACATTCCCCAGTTTCTGAGGGCATGGTTAGTACTGCTTACAAATAATAGGGTGTTCTTGCTGCTRGCTGCTCTTTGTCAGCCCCATTTTATGGGTAAACTGAGGCACTGAATGGCTGGGGATATATTCTCCCCTCCTCCCAATTCATTAATTTTGGGTGCAGGCTCCCCTGCTTCTGTGGTGAACAGAGCWGAGTGCTGGGGGGCCCATGGAGCTGCGTGGGCTGTGAGAGATCCCTGCAGAAGTATTTAAGCTGTTCCAAGGCATGTTAAGGAGATGCCATTAAAAAGCAGGGTTCTGCAGAATAGATTTGGGCTCAGATGTGATGGTGAGAAGCAGAAGGGATGTGAGAACAGATGTGGAGCCCTGGCTGCTCCCCACTGRGGGAGTAAATGAGGAGCTGCTAGGGGTGGGTGAGCAGGGGGTGTAAGTGGTCCCGTGGCACGTTTTGGAGTGGTTTGGCCTGGCAGAAGCTTCCTAAAAGCAGCAGGACCTGGGTGAGTCTCGACATGGTTGGGCTTGTCTCTGCAGGACTGGGGAAGGCGTGGGACAGCTGCAGAAACTCCAGGAAGCCCCTGGTCACCTCTGGAGATGACAACGGTCACCATGAAAGGCTGGATCCTCCTCCTCCTCCTCCTCCTCTTGGGAGCCACATCCATTTTAGGTGAAGGTTAAATGTTTCCATTCTGGTCACCATGCTGTCCCCTACCCACGCCAGTGCAGGCACGTCTGTTGGCAGCCGCTGAGCCAGCAGACACAGCCCGACATCGATGCTGGGTGCGGGTCTGGGTCACTGCGGTGTTTGCCCAGCCAGACAACTTCCAGTCGAGGACTGGCTCCCATCCAGCCCCCAGAGCTCGAGCAAAGCCTGTCTGTGAGTCAGCGAGCCGCTGGTTGACCCGGGATGAGCTCCCTGGCCCACTGGCCGTGCTGGCCCACCCCTGCCTGCTGTCCCTGAGACCCTATAGGGTCCAGTCTGCACCCGTGGGAGCTGGGCACAGGAGAGAGCTGCTGCTGGGGCTTAGCTCCCCAGTTTAAATGGGAACAGTCCCAGCAAGCASCCCAGGAATCTGTCACGACCATCAGCCCCCTCAGGCATGCAGGTGGCCAGCAAGTGCAGAAACCAGTCCTTGTCYCATAGAGACAAACAATCCATCTTGGATTCATTTCTCCTTGCACAGGGAGAGGCAGGATATTATTTTATCTCTCCAGCTAAAAAGATTAATTGATCTGAGCTGCTCCAACACAGGAAGTACAAGAAAATTTTCCTTGGGTGATAAGGGAAATAGAAAAGTTCTATGGTAGCTGAGCTGCAGTGATGCTGTGGGACATCTCCATCAGGTCCTTCACTTGGCATTTCCTATACTGCMTCCTACAGGAGCTCTAACCAGCCATAATCCAATGGAAAAACTGTAATACTGAGCCTAAGGATGTCCAGTTCCTTGAACCTAATTCTTTCATTTATTGACCCTTAGGACAAAGGATTCTGAAACCAGCCCTCAGCAGGGTCCAGATAGGACAGAAAACCTTCCGCCCGCTGGTAATGCTCAGCTTAGAGAGTAAGTTAATTCCCACCTTGGGTGGATTTTCCTTGCTGGACARTGTTCCCAACAATTTACAACTAACCAATACGATTTGAGTAGAAGAGGACATTTAGGGTTAGAATCATTCTATGATTCTATGATTTAGGCAATGGAAGAAATGTTAATCATCCACGACCTCCTGTAGGGTTTTGGCTATTGCTGACACATGCTGTTGGCTCCTCTCCTGGAAAAGGGAAGGTCAATGTTGTGACCACAGCCCCAGCTCCTGAGGGAGGCACGCGCRGACTGGGAGAGTGAGAAGAGCCCAGGGATGGGCCAGCACATGCTCTGACCTGCCTTTACCCTRCCCAGCCTATCCCCACACCCTAGGCAGTTTGTGACACCATTCCTTTAGAAATAAAACCTGTGGGGAATTAATTACCTGCAGAGCCCATTCTGCTCATTAATCCCAAGGAGATGCCCCGACCTCTCATCTTTACTGCCCCGGGCTCAGGATTTAAAATCCAGCAGGCACTAAAAGGCCTGGCCATGCTGAAGGAGTTGGGGATTTTACCAGCCTTTTGCCCAGTTCCCAGCAGCTCTCTTAGCCACTGGGAAGAATCAAAGCACCAAAACCATGCACTTGCTGAGACATATTTCTAGGAAAACTCCTGGTAAAATTGTTTTCCCCTCAAAGTAAATGGCACAAGGCAGTGATGCTGGGGCTGGCTCCCTGGCTGGAAAACCCTGTCTGAATCACCCCTCTGCCCACAGGTACGAGGAGCAGCTCTCGCCGGGGAGACCCATCCTTCACCTACGTCAGACGCAGTATGTTCCTGCCGGCCGGTGCCATGGGGGAGCCCTGTCCCTTTCCAYGTTCCCACCAATGCTTGACCCCTCAGCTTCTTCCTCATCCTCCACTTTCTGCTTTTTCTGCCAAAGCGCTACCCAGAGCCATATAATGCCATTTTCCCCCACAGGACTCCCCTCTTCATTTCCTGTCATCACCAGCCCTACAGATTAAATCATCTGATCCCAAACAAGCTCAGGATCTTGCTGAGATCCCACTTTAATCTGTTGCACATTAAATTTTTGCTTGGGGCAAGCACAAATCAGCATTTATCCACAGGATGTGACCATGCCCCCAAGCCCACCTACTCTTGCATGCCTCAAATTGCTGAATAATAAGTCATGGATGCACTACTTGGGATACTGAACTAGAGATGCTGATGTGCCAACAGATTAAAACCTTGCCCATCTAAGCCAAGCACTCACTCCAAGCCACACATGATACTCCCGTATCTGCTCTCATTTGAAGGGCCTTTTCCACCCACCTAGCTTTATAAGACAGGATTGTTTTCAACCATCACAATTGCAACAGTCCAGCCCTGAGCCTATCTSCCTTTCTAGGAAACAAATTAACCTGCTCTGTTACAAATTGGGTGGAAAAGTAGGTATGGGAGATGACATAGTACACGTCTCCCAGAAACTTCAATTTTAGAAACTTAAGTCACTAACGCATYCTTGTAAACATTATTAGAGCACCGTCATTTTAAAAAAAGCCCAAACCACAAACTTGGAGTACTGTAGTAGTACTTCCATTCAAAGTAGATTAAATGAATAACRTCTACTAGCCCAGCTAAAGAAATTCCTTTAAAAATCTAACATCATATTAAACTCTCAATGTGTTTTGCAAATTTTCTCTGTTTTACCAATCAGCTGGCTCCTGATGTGCTCAGCCTGCTCAGTAGCATCTTAGGCTTCTGGTTTGCACACAGTAAAAGTGGTGCTCACAACAGGACACACGCTGCCCCTATAGAAAACATATGCTGAAATTTGGTTAAAGACATTCAACATKATCATACCAACAATTTTACCCTTTTTTGTAACTATTTAACATTTTACTCCTTTTTAAAACTCTTTAACCACATTTGAAACAGACAAGTGTTRCCCCTCAAACAACATTTAAATGACAATGTGTGTTTGATTTCCTTTAAGCCTTCAACACTAAGCATGAGCTGCCTGCACTTTGCTCCCCTTGGGTTTATCTTAATCATCCTGAATTCGGTAGCCTGCGGGGGAATTAAGCCAGAAGCCTTCAGACGCCTTCTCATGCTTTAATTCCCAGCTCCCTGAACATGCTTTGAGTCTTTCTAATCCATGTGGTGCATAATATCCAAATGTATCRTCTGAGCTCCATAGAAGCTGCTAAAATCCAACTGCCTGTTTTTGGGCAGCTGTACGTGTAATGTGCGTCTCAGTAACACACCACTGATGTTATTCAAGGTCCACTGGTGCAAGATTCAAAAAGGTTTTTGTCTCCATGGTCGAAATGGAGCGAGTGCTCAGCAAAGTGTGGCCAAACCGGGGTGCAGAAGCGTACCAGATCCTGCCTAGCTGAGCGCTTCTGGGGCGTGCACTGTAATGAAGCAACTGAGGAAGGGCGGCTCTGCATTGGACATGTTTGCTCAGGTGCTCCTATAACCTCACTTATGGGCAGGGGAGGATGTCCTGGTCTCAGCATTGTGCAGGTGTTGTACTCCCTTTGCTGTCATTTTACCATCTTTCTCTCCTTTGACAGAATCAGTGATTCCCCAGCAGAGCTGGAAAGTACAAAGAGCAGAGCAGGGGGAGTTTATAGCCAAACAGAAAGATAACARGGACTCACAGTATCTTGGGGTATAGAAAAAATATCATTAATCTTGTTATAACAACWGCTCTCAAGATAGAGTCAGTGACTGCAGACAGCTGCCTCCATGCAACCTCCAGGAAAGAGAAGATTTGGGACTATCAAATTGCCATAGTCCCTGCTGGAGGGGATTGTAATTAATGATATTATTCCTATAATCCMCTTTAACCAAATAATGCTGAAAACATGTTTTGTGCAGAAAACTTGTTTCAGGTTTTCTCTGATTTCTTACATTTATTTTAATCTTTGAAAAATATTATCAGGTAGCTGCTGCACAGGGATGGTCTGTAAAAGGAATGACCTGAGCCTTGGGAAAAGACAGATTATTAGTCACAATTAATCAATATAGGTAAATGAGTACAGAATAATATTTGKGAGATCAACTCTTAAACCCATCGGGTACTGAGCACTCAGCAGTTATCCCACATCCTGCCCAAGCCAGGATACCATTGAATAACGGGAAGCAGCTTTTGGGGTAGACCAAAATCACAACTTCTAGGGCATGCACTGGTAACAGAAACATAGAAAGTTTACGACATTGAATTTGTAATTTTGCCAGGGTTGAGCTAAGAGCTCACATGCTGATCTGGATTCAAATTTCCCTGAAATTCAGCCCTTTGGGGAAAGTAAATAACACTTCCTAGCTGTAATTATATCCACGTGGCTGCTTTCTACTAATTGTCAGGTTCAAAATGACATCGTYCCTGCCTTTCTAACACACAGCTGTGTGTTAGAATCAGGAAAAATATGTTTTGGACACAATTTACTCCTTATGCAGTATCTGCCTTATTGCATCTAAATTAAAAGCAGACCCAAGAATGTGCTGTGAGTGTTGTGGGGACTTGGGGCTGTTTTCTGACCTGTCTGCTTCTCCTCCAGCCTGTAACATCACCTGCCCCATGGGCCGTGTCAACGCCGACTGTGACACCTGCATGTGTGAGGATGCAACCCTGCACGGGAAGGTGTCTCTTGAGGACGGGTCACCTGCTGCCGATGCCCGAGTCTACCTGCAAGCCAAGAAACTCAAGCTGTTGACAACGGCTGATAACAGAGGCATGTTTAGGATCCCGGGGGTTTGTCCTGATGGGAAAAACACCCTTAAAATAAAGAAAGCCAAATATGCAACAGCGACTGTCACCGTGCCTGAGAGCAACAGGAGAAACCTGGCAATCCAAGTGCAGCTGCACCGATCAGGTAGCCCCAAAGAGGGGGGATGCAGGAGGCATCAGAAATAAACAGTGATTTTTGTAAGAGGAAGAGTAATGAGATGGCCTTTTCCTTCTCCTGCAGGCAAACCCTATATTTACAGGAGCCCTGAGGACAAAGCCAGGAGAGTAGGACAGAGTGTGTCACTCTGCTGCGATGCCCAAGGGAGCCCAGCCCCTGACCGCTACCTCTGGTAAGGAATTTGAGTTTGATCTGTCAAAAGTCTTAGCTGTCCCATGGATGCCAGTTTTATCTCCTTACCATCTCCATAAAGGTGGGAGTTTAGCCATAAAACAGTTAAATAYGCTGAGAACGCTGATGGCTGCAAGTGATGGCTTCCTCAAGATGTGCAGAGTTGGCACAGCAACGTCATCCCCCAAGGGATTMGCTGGAAAAACACACAGAGAAAGAATTTAAAAACTTCAGCAGACACAACTGTCAGCTCTGCCTGCCTGCCAGCTGCCCAGCAGCCATTTCTCAGTATKGCCAGATGAAGGGGAATAATTTTTAGGTGATGCCACCTAGCCAAACTAAAAACAGGGAAACTGAGGCAGGAAATCTGGCAGAATCCAAATGGATTTTGCCTCATGCAGGATTAGGTCATCATTCTGTTCCAGCCAGGCGGTCAGTCTATGTTCCCTTAWCTGTTCCTGCCAGGTACCACAATGGCTCACTGCTGGATCCCTCCTTGTACAAATACAAAAACAACCTGATTCTGAAGAACCTGAACAGAGAGCAGTCAGGAGAGTATTTCTGCAAGGCCAGCAGTGCCGGGGGGTCGGCGAAGTCCCAAGTTGCCAAGCTGGCTGTCATAGGTAAGAGAAAATGTGCCTGATGCTCTCCAAGCAGCTGGGAGGTGTTGGTGTGCAGGAACCAGAAACTGACACATCTGGTAAAGAAAAGTCATAGGAAAAATACTTGAGGTTTATGTCATTCATCCGTTTGTAGATCAGCTTCAGTGAGCTGGTTATGAACGAGATGTGCTCTCCAAACTAGAGCTCTGGATTGCAGGTGACCTACCAAGATAAACGTATTGCTGTCAACAGAATTCTCACTGTACTTGCTGCCTGACATGGGAGGATTTCTGCTTGTTTAGGGTTGTTTTTAAGGTCCTRGGACACATTTTAGTCTTGTCATAGTCAAAAAGCCAGGCAGCAGCAGAGCATCTAGCTGATGGAGGGCTGAATGACCATAATGGATAAGCAGGAACCAGGATGCTCCTGCAAACTGCTCTTAATCAGGGTCCTAAAGCTAAAGCTGAGCTACCTGCTTCACTGAAATGAGGCCAGATGGATTCAGCTAACCAAAATCATGCAAAAAMCTCACTGGTTTTAGGAGTAATGTTTAGTTCTGAGATTTCAGACAACATAGGGATGACTGTACAATTATTTCATGCTGCTCATTAAGAAATTCTATTCAACAGGAAGACAAGAGGCACCCTGTGACCCCCAACCCCAAAGCCACCTCATCCGACTTCCTCACGATTGCTTCCAAAAAGCAACAAACTCCTTCTACTACGATGTGGGAAAGTGCCCAGCGAAGACCTGTGTGGGGAAGCTGGATAAGGGACTTCGGTGTAAGGACAATGTCTCCTACTGCTGTGGGGTATCCAAGATGGAAACYAGGGACATCTCCTGCGATGGCTACACGCTCCCCACTAAAGTCATCATCGAATGTGGCTGCAAAAAATGCACCGAGACTAAAATAATGGTCCGAGGCAGAGCCACAGCAGCAGATAATGGTGAGCCACTGAGGTTTGGCCATATCTACATGGGGAACAAGAGAGTGAGTATGACTGGCTACAAGGGAACCTTCTCCATCCATGTCCCAGCAGACATGGAGAGACTGGTTTTAACTTTTGTGGATCGGCTGCAGAAGTTTGTGAACACAACAAAAGTTTTGCCCTTCAAGGAAAATGGAGGCGCTGTATTTCATGAAATCAAGCTACTAAGAAAGAAAGCCCCTGTTACACTGGAATCCACCGAAACCAATGTGATTTCTTTGGGGGAAATGGAAGAGGATGATCCAATTGCCGAATTAGAAATTCCTCCCAACGCATTTTATAGGAAAAATGGAGAGGTCTACAGYGGCAAAGTGAAAGCCAGCGTGACATTTCTGGACCCAAGAAACATCTCCACAGCCCCTGTGACACAAAGTGACCTGAACTTTGTAGATGAGGAAGGAGATGTATTTCCTCTCCGCACGTATGGCATGTTTTCTGTTGACTTCACGAATGAACAGGGCACTGAATCCCTCAATGCAGACAAGGTGAAGGTTCATTTGGATGCTGCTCAGGTCAAGATGCCAGATCACCTGCAAGARATGAAGCTTTGGTCCCTGAACCCAGAGACAGGGTTATGGGAGGAAGAAGGGGATTTCAACATTGAGAAAAGCACACGGCGCAAAAGGGAAGAGAGAACTTTTTTGGTTGGGAACATGGAGATCAAAGAGAGGCGTCTTTTTAACCTGGATGTCCCTGAGAGCAGACGGTGCTACGTCAAAGTCCGAGCCTACAGGAGCGAGAGATTTCTGCAAAGCGAGCAGATCCAAGGGGTTGTGATTTCTATTATAAACATGGAGCCAGAACCGGGATTCTCCTCCAACCCCAGAGCATGGGGACGTTTTGACAGTGTAGTCACTGGTCCCAACGGTGCCTGTGTGCCCGCCTTCTGTGACGAGCAAAATCCTGAGGCCTATGGAGCTTATATCTTGGCAAGCATGGGGGGTGAAGAGCTCGAAGCTGTGCCCTCTGCTCCCAAACTCAACCCTGCTGCTATTGGGGTCCCACAGCCATACCTCAACAAGCTCAACTACAGGAGGACAGACCATGAGGACCCCAACATTAAGAAAACAGCATTCAGCATTAATATGGCCAAGCCAAGCCCTAATTCCCCAGAAGAAAACAATGGCCCTATTTATGCCTATGAAAATCTCAGTGAATGTGAGGAAGCTCCACACAGTGCTGCTCACTTCAGGTTTTACAGGATAGAAGGAGACCGGTATGACTACAACACTGTTCCCTTCAGTGAAGATGACCTCATGAGCTGGACCGATGACTACCTAGCATGGTGGCCCAAGCCCATGGAATTTAGGGCCTGCTACATTAAAGTAAAAATAAATGGACCCCAAGAGGTGAATGTGAGATCTCGTAACATGGGTGGGACACACCCACGCACTATTGGCAGACTCTATGGAATCCGGGATGTGCGCAGCATCCGTGACCCCCAGCAGCGGGACGTGTCAGCAGCCTGCCTGGAGTTCAAGTGCAGTGGAATGCTCTTTGACCAGGACCGTGTGGATCGCACGCTTGTCAAAGTGGTCCCACAAGGCAACTGCCGTCGAGTGAGTGTCAACAGCATGCTCCATGAGTACCTGGTGAACCACCTCCCCATGGCTACCAACAACGACACCAGTGAGTACACAATGCTGGCACCTCTTGACCCGCTGGGACACAACTATGGCATCTACACCGTCACTGACCAAGACCCAAGGATCGCCAAGGAAATCGCCCTGGGCAGGTGTTTTGATGGCACATCKGATGGAACCTCTAGAATCATGAAGAGTGATGTCGGCGTTGGGTTGACTTTCACCTGTTCTGAGAGGAGTGCAACAGAGCAAAGCATCTTCCAGTCTCAGAGGAACTTGGGCCAGCAGTCTCCGAGGAACTCAGGCCAGCAGTCCATCCTGGTTCTGCCAGGGCAGAGCCCTGCATACCGGAAGCCACCAGCAAGCCGCCGAAACAACCAAGCCAGAATGCCGATGAGAGGTCAACGTCCCACATACTAGAGCTGTATAGGAGCATCGGTAAAGTCATTCATGCTCAATTAAATATAATTTGGATCGATCTGCTAATAACCTAATTGAAAGATGGTAGGTGTCATTATTTGTGAGATATAATTAAGGTGCCTTTTTTTTCCCCACCAGAAAGACATAAGTCAAGAATTGGGTCCAGCAGAAGTAGTGAGTTCATGTCTTATTAAATGCATCCATAAAAATCTTCTTTCTGCCTGACATTAAACAGCTTCACATGATAGCCTAAAGGGAAGACTAAAACACATGATTCAATTAAGTCATGTACATAAAACATTCTTCTGTTCTGCATCTGCAGACTTTGCCAGCCCAAGTACCTGTACAGTAGTTGGTAACATGAAAAGGAATAAACTGATTTCCTCATACTGAATTCAACTGCAAGGTTYCGTACTTGAAATGTAAGTATTTTATTTATTTCTAGCTTGTTTTAGAATGACTGTATTCAAGCTAAAACTACTGGCAGCTGCATTTCTAAGAACTCACATGGCTCAATAGCACAGAGAAGCCATGTGGATTTGTAGGCTCTACAAGGATATGGCTAGAGTTTTATCTTGCTTTTTGCATTATTTGACAAGAAAATCCATGCTCTATGATAGGGTAGGTTAATAAAAAAAGTAATTTTGTAACTTGAACATGTGTCACTTTTGTGTTTGAAATGCCCAAGTAAATAAACCACATGTAGARCTGAGCAAAGAATAACCTGCAGGATTTCACCTTTCTGTTCACGAACAGGTCACAGCTTTATCAGTGTGAGACTGATCCTGCATATGGGTGAAGGGTTTTGTGGGTACCTAGTTCTCCTGCAGGTCCAGGGTTTGCCCATGGCATGCTGCAGCCAGGGAATCTCCCCAGCTTGACATGTGCAGAGTCAGCAACAGAACTGGGAGAATCAGAGCAGCGCGTCCGGGTTACTTGGATGAGTTAAGGAGCAGCACAGGATGGAGGGAAAAGAGGGCTGGGAATTTGTGCTTTAAGGATGACAGGAAACCAGGCAATGCAGAGCAGTGCTGGGTAGAGGCAGGGAGAAGACAGGCTTCCCTCCACACTCAGCAGCAACAAGCAGGAGCTGTCAAGAAGCTGCTCCTAGGTGAAGGTACAGCTGGCCACAGAATCAGTGGTCCCTCTCCAAGTGAACTATTAAATTGTCCTTTCAACCTCTCACCCTTTCTAGAGTGAAATCAAGGACCCCACAGCACACAAGACATGCGGTGTTTACACCCAGTGGCAATAAAGTTTTGGGATGCAGAAAAGGCAGCAAATCTCTGTCACWGAAATTATCACCAAGAGAGATCATAAAAAGGTGGGCAGTGCTATTGGATGAAAACTGGAATTCAAACACATGCTCCAGCATGGATTTCCCGCTCCTACCCAATCCCCTCCTATGGATATGACACTAGTTCTAGGCCTATGCTGCCATACCTACAGGCCACYAAGGACATAGGGAATCTTTCAACAGCATTTAGAAAGCATCAGAACAGGCTCTTAGGTCTGATACATGGCAGTCTGAATTATGCTTTAACCAGTAAAAAAATATCCCTTAATAATCCACTTTTTAATGCAAATTGACAGTTACCAAACAAAAGCAGAAAAGGAAGAGCTGTGGAATACTCTGGCACATCCTCTTCATACCAATGAATTTAGACTGTGTGTTTTCTTTTGTGTCTAGTCTGCTGCAAGGGCTTGGCAGGAGCCAGAGCCAAGGCAGCCAGTGGGGAGCATTAGCTCGGACCTTCCCACAGAGTTCTTGGCTTGTGCAGAGAAATGTCTCTTCCCTCTGCYCTCCTCCTCTGCAGACAGACAGCCAAATCCCAAACTTAGTTTCATCACTTTGAGAGTGAAGTAACACAAATGACTTCTACAGACTAACCCAGGAGATAAATGGATGAAAGCAGGCTCAGGATCTGATCCCTGTGCTGCATGTGGGCTCGCCAGTCAAACACAGCAGAGTACAGRGCTCTTCAATCTGAGGAGAAATGGGTGTTTAACAGCACTGCAATGGTCACGGCCCTACAGCCTGGAACAGACAGAAGCTCTCCAAGTTTCCCCAAACTGTCCCTCTCTGCAGCTTAGCACTGACTTGAAGGAACAAACTAATCTGTGCACTCACTGAGTCCCTGAGCTCTCCCAGGAGGCTGCTGGCAGACTGTGTTGGACACAGAGCAARACAGAGGTTTCAAACACGGGTACTTAAGCACTACCAACAGACTTGACACAACCACCACTCAGTGCTAACACTGCACCGTTACTSAAGAGCTACCATCCCAAACACATTAAGAAAAGTTTATATAGGAGCAAAGCTACAGCAGGTCCTGGAATCTCCTACTCACACTAATTTTATGCTACAGTTGAGTATCAGTTCTGACTCATCCAGCTTGTGTTTATGGTCAGTGTATGGCAATGTCTGTTCGGCAAACCAAATCCACACTCCCACGTATCAGAGAGCATCAGCTGGAGGAATGCAGGAAGGCTGGGACACAGCTCCTCCCTCAGCCTCAGCCTTTAGACCACCAACCTTGAGGAACAGGCTGAAGGAGACCTGGCTCCTAAACATCAGCAGGTTTCCGGCTAATGGCAAATCATCTTCCATTAAGGTCACTTACTTTTCAATCCTTAGATAAATCTGGTGACCTACCCCTCCTGTTTTAATGGAAGRGAAGCTACTGCTTCCAAGAAGCAGACACGATAAACAAAAGATGTATTCTCATCTAGCCTCAACCAGCAAATTATTTGTGGATTTTGCAAGCAACTTTATAAAAMGGTTCAAGTGTTCCTCTGATTAGTCACTTACACTTTTTGTTTATTTGYAATGTATTCAGAAAACTAGAATAAAGAGGTTTCCCAGGAAGCAGGGGAGTAGCAAAATTGCAAAACATGATACAGATGCATCTAATTGTGAGTCACCAGCATCCTAGGAAATATCACTCCCTCTACTAACAYTTATTTGAAATTCGTGATGAAATAAATCACCCCTATCCAACATCAGAATTCTTCTGGTGCCCAAATATTTTGTAGCTCTGCCAGTAATTTGGCAACAATATTAAACTGAGCTGTAGTGGACGTTGGGTCTGTGAATACCTCTGGTTGCTTTCCCTCTCTCCTCTGAGAGGAGGACAGCTGTTTTATTTTGCTTAGATCCCTTTCCAACGGCCAGGGTAGCTGTACTCRACTTCAACAGAGGTACTGGGGATCAAATCACTGTGTCTGTCTTCCAGAGTCAACCCTGACATGCGATTCCACACCTCATCAGTGAATGCCCCATTTTGGTTTTGTCTGTTCTGCAAAAATAATCAGATTTTCATTATTTACTGAGTTAAATGCCTGCAGAGCCAGGTGAAAGCAAAGTTTCCAAAGAGACATTTTGGCCAACAGCTGCCTGGGGAACACCAATTCCCTTTAAAACTTCTCTACCATGCCAAAAATAGCATGCCAAAGACTTTTTCCATAGAAAATTTAATTATTTTCTTTTGCTCTGTAAAATAACTGGGGTAAAATTGTGCATGCTCGGAGCTAAGACATTAACTGTTAAACAACACAAAACTGTCTAATCTTTTATAACCTCTCACAMAGAAAGCAAGAGAAGCTTTAAATCTGAACAGATCAAAAGATTAAGTTACAAATACGTGAGATCCTGGCTGCAATATGGTTTAGACATTATTCACCATTAAACAACTAACTGAAGACGTTCTGTACCAGATTTTCACCATCTTCTGTCCAGCTGTCCTTGGTTTTCATCCAAAAGGGATGCAGAGAGCTCCATCTACAGGAATTCTGGGCACARGCCACCTCGAACTTCCCAAAAACACAGGGAAACTCTTCCTGTTGCTTTATGCTTTAGTGAGAACCAGATAATTATTGTCTGCCAGCAACAGGTCTCACACAAGGTGYGACCTAAAACTGACAATGAAAGATACACAAAGAAGTTGAAGAATTTTCCTCAGGTCATTGCTAGGAAAAAACTGTAAGATTTAAGAGTCTGGTTATCTAAAAGCTTTTAATCTGGACTCTTTCGCATAAACTTTCAACATTATTCTATCTGTGGGAGTCCTCGCTGTTCATGTTGCTCAKGTTGTGATGAACCAGAACTCATGTTCCAGGCGTAAGGACCTGGAACATCTGAAAAGTTGGGTCCTGAAACACTGAAATTGTYGAGTCCCAGTTAATTAAAATACTTCTCCTAAGTGCAAAATTCTTTAGCATTAGAGCCTAAAATTATCMCTAAATTGTGATGGTGCGTTTTGCCATACTGATGTAGCAAGGCCCACAAAAYTCCCCAAACCATCCACCATCCCCATGAACACACAAAAAACTCTCATCCAACCCATGCTTCTAATGGCATAAAGCAGTAACCTTTAGAGACTGACCTGAACAGAGAAAAAGCAAAATGACTTCACAATCTTCACTTGAAAGAGTAGCAGGGAGCAAAACACAAAAATACATCATTTTCTTGGAAACAAACTTGCCAGATTTAGAATTTCTGCAGCACAAATTACACGGACTCTGCGGTCAGAAACGGGAATTCTCCACAGGAGCCTGACTTCCACCTTGCTGTTGTTTCCAGTTTTTGACTCTGATTCATAGGCTTGGATTTCTTGGAGGACCATGTGTTTTGGAAAACCTGTCAGAAGCAATTAATTGATGGACCAATGGCAATATAAGAAAAATACTGTAGCAGCTGCTTTAACAGATGCTTCTTCAAAAACATTTYAAACCTTGCGATAGAACACATTTTTTTCTAGATTTTTTGCTTTTACTTCAACAGAACACAGAAAAAGTAGGAAAAAGTTAGCAAATATTAGAATAGYTCCTAAAATACGGCCAGTCTTTGCTTTGCTGTTATGCTCACAGTGCTACATTACTTCTTCTAAGACAAAAAAAGTTTGAGAGTCACAAGTTTTGGGTTTCCTGACAGGAAATACTTGTTGTATGTGCCATTAACCAAAGACAGAATGAGGAAAACCTTGGATTAGACTAACAACTCCTCATGAGGTACCTCTTGTATCGGAAAGTGTAACAGTAGAACATCAATTTTCTGGATAGAGGG